AAAACATGTATAGAGCATAAAAAAGCATATATAACATACATAAAGCATATAAATATGACATGTTGAAATATATTAGTTTAATGTATCATCAAGAAATAATCCGACGAGAAGCAAGCTTGTCGAGTCGAAATTTTAATTGGCCATTGTTATGCAAAAATGATCCAATTCAAAAAGTTATAAGCTTCTATCAGTAGATACTCCATTCACATTTTTTTTAACCAAACAAGAAAAATTCAAGCTTTATATATGCTTGAAATGAATATATATATATATATATATATATATATATATATGCTTAAAATGAATTAAGAAACAGTTTGTTTATTTTTTACCAGTAACGTCTTTTTACACATTTTTGTAAGGATTGAGTTTGTCAGTACTCTTAAAGATATGGAAATGCTTGACTCGTTGAACTATTGTATAAAATCTCAGAGCTAAATTCTTTGGTTGGATCATTCTTACGTAACTCCGACGAATTGTAAATTCCAATTCTTACTTTAGTTGCCGTCGGACCCAATGCGATTTACGTCTACGTGCATGCAATCTACGTAAAGTGACGCTTTGTGTCTACTATATGAGCGTCTAAATTGAGCACTCACCATTGCGCGTCGTCCCACGGTGCCCAGGGTCCATCCTGTCGCTGCATCTGACATTGCTATAGTCCTCGCGTCCCACATCGCCTGTAACTCCCGACCGCGGTAATCTAACGGAGGTTTCACAAAAAATCTCTCTTGGGGGATACACTCCGTGTTGCCAATTGCGTATGAAATATCGTGTCTCGAGGAAATGTCGACTTTTCGGAAAAACGATGAGTATGTGCGACGAATTCAGTAACAGTCCGATCGAGTTGTAGTAGTTGCCCGTATCAGACTACCGACTGCACAGGCTGACCCGACTGTCGACTCTCAATGGACCAATCACAGTAAGGCGCCGATTCGGTGTCTCATTGTGATTGGTCTATTGAGAGTCGGCAGTCGTAGTCGGCAGTCGGGTCGGCCTGTGCAGTCGGTAGTCTGATACGACCTTTACGACAGTCGGTTTACCTAGTCTTTGTGGAGCCTAGAGTTTTTCTTAGAGCCGTTACTCAGGTATTGTTAATATCCATTATTCGATCATCATTATTTCGTTATTATCCACTCACGGATATTATTACACGATTGTCGAGCAGATATTATTATCACTAGCAATTGCTACTTGAGTATATTATTACTTCTTTATTCAGTTCTTATTTAATTTGTTCAGTTATTATTTAATTATTGCTATTACGGATAGGAAAGCAACTAGGGCGTGCCGTTATGACAATTTCTTTACCTCGTCTTTAATCAGTTATTATCGTCGTTGCCCAGTTATTATAATAACAATATATAACAATAACTGGGCAACAACGATAATAACTGATTGTTTGGAATCAAATTCCTTAATACCACCATTGTTGTGTGTAACACTAAATTAAATGTGCTTTCTGTTGGAGAGACGAAGCTGATGACCAACCAACTCTTAGGAGCTGCTGCGCCGAAGGATCCGGCTCGGGCCAAGCGGGATTAGCTCGAAGGTTAACTTCTCTAATTAACATTTGTAATTATAAATCCAATAAGTTTGATAATTCTCTTGCTCAAAATCGAGATAATTTGAATCGAGTCAAAGATTGCGCTAAATCGTAATTACATGCGGGAGAATTTTTTTCCTGAGTAACATCACCACTTGAAAAATGCTGATTTGTTTTAATTAAGAGATTTATTTGAAACGTCGAGAAAAAGGAAAGTGCGAAATATTCTAAGTGTGAATGCATTCCGAAAAATTCTCCCAGCGTGAAAATATCGCGCGTTTATTTTTTTTTTAAATATTGCAAATATCTTTAATAGTTCGCCCAGTATCTTGAAAATAATTTTCCAATAATATTCCAATAAATAATATTCCAAAGTCGTGTTCATAACGTTGGATTTACTATCTCGCCATATTTTATCAAATTTTCCCGCTAATTTAAGCCGAGATTCGAATCGATGTATTTGAAGTCTCCGCTAACTATTGAGTCGAGATTCAAACCGAGTTGTTTAGTCTCCGGTATTATTCGTATTGTTATAAATTATCAATCCCAATAAGATGAATTTTGAGGCAGATAGTTCCTTTTGAGTCACATCGATATTTTTTGTTGCTGCCGAGAAATAAACAAAAAATATGAGCGGCATGTTTAATCTTGTATATTTATTTATTGTTTCATATTGTTCAATTTCCAAATCCTTTTTCCTTACAAAATTACGCAGAACGCAGCGTGAGAAAGACGAGACTAATGAGAGATTATCTAGCTTTTCGATAAGTTTGCCGCTAGCTCGCTTCGTGCCTACGTCTCGCGGTCCGCTTATCAGTGGTGAGACAAGAACAGAGCGATTGGACGTCTGTCCTTTTCTAACTTACTATCATTGTACAGAAGTACAACAGGCACGAACTAGGCACATTTTATCATTACCACCGCGAAAATGCGTTTAACGAACGTAGTAAAGGCGCACTTTGTTAGATGGCGTCTCGAAAATGTGTTTAGCTGTGGCCACTAAAATCAAGTTTGTGGCCGCTCTCAGGCTTCTCTTTGGTTGAACGTCTGATATTTTTTGGCGCCCCTAACAGCACGCATATTTAAAAGATGTCCAGAGAACATCCAGAAAACATTCAGAGGACATTTTATGTTCTATGGATATCCATTGGACGTTCCCTGAACATTGCGTGTTATTAGGGGCTGTTCGCACACAGAGAACTCTTTTAGGTGCACAAGCGGTAATCATATAAATCTATTTTTCGTCCAAATAAACAAAAATAGACATATGACTCAAGTGTTAATTAGCTTACCACTCGGTTGGTATAACCGGACTTAAGGATTAAATAATCGCTAAGAAAAATACTGAGCAAGGTATAGTGAAAAATGTTACTTGAATCGTTATCAAATGCAGTCAGTTGTGGAACGGATCACGGCGTACGCATTCATAAAGTCATTATGTATTCTTTGTGACTTTAATTTTCCGCGTATGAATTATCGCCGGGAGTGTCGACAAAAAGTTTCGTACGTTTATTCGACACAGTCGAAGTAAACATTTTATGAAACTGACCGAAAAAAATGTTAACGTAACGAGCAAAGTGTTGCACTTTCGTTGCGTTGCGACACATAGGGTGCATTTGAAGAGCCCGCTATTAACACTTCAGTGTCATTCTATTTTTGTTGTATATCTAAGGAACAACAAAGATACAAGAAGGTGGTGGCGTTGGTGACGTGCTTCTCGAACGCACTTGCAGTCAGGAATTTAAACCACGAAAAGTTTTACTTTTCAGTCCGCCGAAAAAGTTTTGAGTGTGAGTTACCGTCACTGAATCAAAAGTACGTCTCACGCGTTGTTATGACAAAATATGGTTAAATCGTCGAAAGTGAATAACCACTAAAAATACTAAGTGAAGTATCGCACGTGTATCGCACAAAGTATCGTAAGAATTCGCTTCTCCGCCACGATATTCAATTAGTCTTGAGGTAGATCGCGGCGTTCGGTATATACGTGCTCGTAAAGCTTGATATCTTTCATAATTTTGATTTGCCGAAGAAGAATACAGCCCGTTAATTATCTTCAGGAGTGCCGGAAATAAATTTTGAGCGTGTGTTGTAATCAAACATCATCCATTAACTATTAAACAGTTGTCGAATCTCGCGTAACGGTTGAGACTGGCGATCGACATGTCGCTACATGTCCGTTACGTTACAGCGACTCCGCGTTCAAACCGTTGTACTTCGTTTTAGACCGAACCGAAGGAGCCTCGCGCGCGAATTGTTGACGGTTAAAAAATTTCGTGTGTCTGTCGTGACAAAAGAGCATTAAATAAACGTCGAACGTAAACATCTCGCGAAACGGGCCGCCGAGAGTGTAGGACAAGGTTTCGTGTATTTGCCGTTATGGAAGTTGAAGTTTCAATCGCAGTCCTTTGGGTTGTCGAAGCAGTCTCGCGCGCGACACATCGTCGGGAGTGCCGGAAGTAAGTCTCGCGTGTGTGTGCGTGATTGTGTGGCAAAACACATCATGAAGTAACTGCGGAATGTGGATATCTCGCGGAACGGATCGTCAGCAATGCCGAGTGGAGTGTCGCACGTATTCACCACGCTATGACAGTTCGGAGTTCAAGTTGCCGCGTTCTGTACATTCGAACCCGCCGAAGTCGGTAAGCATTAACGGAGTAAAGACTAGACAAAGCGACTTTTGCATGTCGAATTGTATGTACTATTCGCGAATTCCAGCCAGACACAAAACGATTTCGTCTGGAATTGAAAGTCAAACTGAAGATCGCGTATAAAACGTGGGGAAGATGTTGCATTCTATGGGCTTGTGATGAATACTAAAAATCTCTTTTTCTGATATGCTTGGTAATCGACATTCATATTTGAATAAAAGTACAGATTAACATAACAGAGTTTTTTATAGGAGAGTACGCTGTTATAATTATTGTTACATAGTATTGTGATACTGCGCGCGGTAGAAGATATATCTAAGAGATTAATCTAACGTTACAAATTCATCACAATCGTGAAATGGACGAGTCAACTGAAAAGATGCGATCGATTAAATTCGCTAACAGCAATAAGCTTATGTCGAACTACTTGCAGTAAGCATCACTTCTAATCTCTTCTATAGTATCCTTTTCTTTCGAAACTATATTCGTCTATTACTTTTTCTCATTTCGCATATTCGACTAATGGGTTGTATACTATCTTTGAGTTCGACATTTTAATCGAAAGACTTGTTCGAGGTTGTGTGAAATAAGACTAATTGGTCTTGTAGAAAATGGAGATATGGGCGAAAATAAATTTGGGCATTTACACAAATTGAATAATTATTAAGCGAATTTATATCAGACATAAGAGTTATCCTCGTATATCCTCGTAATCGCACATTTACAACTGCTCAATTTTTAAATCGTACACACACGTTTGCAGACACGTGGGAGACGGAAATAAAAAAAAACGAACGACGTAATTCTAGTTGCAAAATTCTTTTATTTTGCTCTACTAATGCAGTCAAAATTCAGAGAGAACAGAATTTATTGATTCGTTCTGTACAGTGCATACCTTTCGGGACTCATATTTACCCAGGAAACATATATAGGGATTCTATCGATCGCATGATCGATGCGTTGCGATCAAATATCAAATTAAATCAAACACTAAATCGCTCGTATTTTCACAACTTAATGCACACACATATCGATATTTGCAAGAACACCAAATGACAATGACCGTAACTATTAATCCTCCCTCGTGAAAAATATAAAGCGATCCGCCGAAAAAAATGAAGGAAAATACAAGTGGAAAGGGCAGAAAGAGGAGAAAAAGTAGAAAAGAAAACAAGGGGAAATGCGAAGAAGCGGGCTCGTAGGAACAATTGAAGAATGGAAATTAAATATCAGCCAAAGAGACTCGATATGGAATATTTAAAATCGATATTCCCCGGTCGTGCGAAGAAAATTTCACATTTTTTAAAGATATTTTATTGACTTTGTGTCTTAAAATGTTACGTATGTTTAAGACGATACCTCATAATGCATTAAATTGATGAACAAGCATTTCTGTAAACATGAAACATCCCCTTTATTCCAATTATAATTCCAATTATAGGTCGCGACACACAGCTGATATTTAATTTCTACTCTTCAATTTCCTGCGGGAACATCTATATCCTCGAAAGTTACCATTAGAAAGTATCGATAAAGTCCTTACGTCTCTCCTACAATTATATCGATGTATTAGAGATAATATAGCCAATGAATTACAAACAATAATATCGCTAATGAATACGAGGTTATTCGTGTTAGTAGTACGTTGGATTTCGTTCGATCGTCTCGTTCGTAATCTTAATGCATTCAAAAGACGGTAGTCTCCTGCGGGTTTCACGACCGTAGAAACGCGATGCATCGGGATTCTCGGTCGTTATTTTTTCGCCAAAATTGTAATCGGTAAAACCTATTTAGAAATCGCAAGACTACAGAATCATGTTGCACGCGTCATATAATAAACGTAATCCGACCCTTAATGGTAATACGGGGAGATTGATATGGATCTTAATCGGGCCATTCTTTTTGTCGCAATGTAATAAATAACGAGGCAGTGTCGCATCGGGTTTCGCACGCTCATAATTCGTAATTTCGTATCATTCGGAACTCGGCGAATCAGTTCAGCTGTTGCTAATATTTAAAGCATTCCATGCCGCATGCATTTTGATTAATTTCGCGGAAGCCTGATTAGAGATTGTACACCTTAGGAATCGCAAGTTGAACGCAAGTAAACATCGTTCTTTACAAACACAATGATGTTAGTTTCTTTAATATACTTCCTCTATATTGTATATTGCAGATTTCTAAATATACATATATATATATAATGTGAATATACATATAGTTCTTTTTGTATTCCGTTGGTTACAAGGCCGGTCAACGGCGCGAACGATGCGGCATTGAATGCGTTAAAGAATCACACGAAGGACACGCGGGAATAATCATGATTGAGAATTGAGCGTGATTCGTGCTCGAGCATACGATGAAAATGTGCGCTTCGGCCCTCCGACTATTGACGCAACACTAGTATGAATGATATGGAGGTGATGATTTTAGGCGATGTCGTGAAAGTCAGCCGAAAAGGGCCTCGAGTACATCGTCATCTCATCCTCGAGTTTGACCTATGTCAGTCGTAACAATGGCAGTTTGTCGGCTTTCATAGTGTGCGATAAACGTATCGATGAACAGTCGACGGGCAGAAAGAGTTCGTGTCCCTTCCCGATGTTTGATTTTCCAATCAATCTGCGATTCATGGTGCATGATATTTCCTTCTTCTCCTTTTCGTGCTTCCGCGGATCTAAAAATCATCATTGAAAACGTGCGATCGGAGACCGACGCGAGTATTTCATTGATGTACATTCGATGGGATGGCCGATGGAGCGAGAGCGTGAAGATGATCAATCGATGATCTTCGAGCTATGATCGGTGCTTCGGTGAACGGTGACGTCGAGCCTGGTGATATGAGGCGGTGAAGCACGAGAGTTTGCTCTTTTTCTTGACTACTTCGAGACGAGATGATGTAGTGGCGAGGATGATCGTCGCAAGTATCGAACCGTCCACACCTCTCCGAGAAGACGACTTATATAAATAAAATATGCGAGGTCTGTCAGGAGTATATATCGTAAAGTATCAAAGTATTATTCTTGGCTTGTTCATGTCGGTTTTCACATTCGCTCTATTGTACGCACATTTACGAGACACATATGCACACCGAACGTGCGTTTCTTTCTTTTGTCTCATCGCGTCTCCCTAGCACAGTTGACGAAGATATGCGAACGACGCGAAATCGCTTATCGATCTATAGAAGTCTCCGCCTGCGAACTTCGACTAGACGGGAGTATGCTAATCCGAATGAAACATAATAATCGCAAAGGAATATATATCACTCGGCGAAAGCGACTGTCCGCGATTACAATAATAACCGATAATAACAAATCTTTTCGAGAAACCTATTTCTATGAATATCCTTAAATCACAGTCAATTTAACAGGAATGGACATAATAAACAGCATTAAAAGTATTCTCTGCCGAGAGTGCGATCTCACTTCAACCGCTGTTATCGTGATTTTCTAGTATCGTTTCCATAATGGCGGCTTTAAAACAACATTGAGCATAAAAGAAGGCAAGTCTACACGTAATGTCCATACATTAGCGCTTCGCACATAATTTAAGTGACTAGACGATACAAAGCAGCGTTTACTTGCCGCTGCTCATCTCTCTCTACTAAAGTTTTCTTCTCTTCTTTCTCCCAATATAAAAAAGTCCTTGTAGACGCTTACTTTTATTTTTGCTCTGAGACAATTTAAATCCCAAATCACTTTTCACTGTTGAATTTTTCAAAATTTCAACATTTGAAAATCATAAATATATATATGTATATATAAATATATATATGTGCATGACATACACATATATATATATATACATGTTTCTTTTGTAATTTATTCATCAAAGATGAATAAATTTAATTTTCTTTTTCGAGAGAAGCCATCGAAAGAAACTTTGAGAGAAATCGAACAATTCTCATGTTAGGCAGGCAGCGAAAAAAATATTCAACCAAGGGTCTCTACCTACTTAGGTTATATGCAAAGCAATGATGTAAAAGTTATACGTGTAGACTCAGTGCAAACATTCAATTATTTAGTTCAATAGTTTAGTTCAATAGTTTACAGGAATGACAGAGTAAATCTACGAATCGATATGCTCTTCCACGAGTGTTTCGAAATCACGTCGTGATTTAATATAGAAGAGAATGTGTCCGATTGATTACACGAATAAAAAATCAAGATTTTAGTAATATAATTCTCATACTTTATATTTCTATAAAGTTTAATCACAAACGTAAAAATTGATCTTATTTAATCGACACATCACTAATACGAAAACACCACAAATTACTAACACTGAGCCGGATTATACTACTCGTATAATCAACGAGAGTCATTCGTCTCTTACATTGAGCAATTGCGAACTAAATCGCGAAATGCTTTGATACTAACTGAAAGTAAAAGAGAGCTTTTTAAACTTCTTCGACGAATGACATTTCATGATGTAACTCGTTAACGATTCTGTGTCAACGTCATTAAGAAAGTGACATTACGCGAACCATGTTAGGCAGACAAAACGGTGGCGTATCGATGCAAGAAGCGCTAATATTCAAAAAGAAATCCTAATTATTTTAACAAAAACGCGATGAGCAAAACTAACATAATCGACTGAAGTTCACTGTGCGATGTATTTACAATAACAATTTCGAGTTAGACTCGAAATGCATTGTTTGTCAGTTTACAAAGTTAAGAGTGAGTTATACATGCGACAAAAATCTATAATATAATCTAGAGTCAGCGACTGTTCGAGGAGTTACCAATTCAGTCTTAAGAAATAATTAAGTCAACGTTTGATTGTGTTGCAGCAACAAGACATCTACCAGGTTTCTTAATATCATACATTATATCGTTAAGAGAAAAAAAGTCTAAGATGCAAAACAAGGAAGCAAGAGAGGGACTTCACAAACCGTCAAATTCATTTGGCACAGATACAGTCGACATTTTAACGTACTGCAACTATGTTGGAATTACCTATGCTATCAGTTTCCACGTATAATCAATTCTGTTTAGGCGGTATAAAAAAGATGTCAGTACTTGTGTGTTGTCAAGAGTAATAGTAGTATTTGAAAAAAAAGACTCAAAAACACGTAGTAATCGATTACAACGGGGATGATACGTTCGATTACTTCTAGACCGATCACGCGCGAGATTACAGCTAAGAGAGTTCTGCGTGTTTAATTATAATAAGTCACTGCCTTCGCTTGTAAAAACCGTCGCAATGATCGAAGGCAGATCGTTACCGGAGAAAGCAAACGCGAGAAAACTAACGATAGAAGCTGGTTTTTGTGATATAGGGCAGTATCACTCGGCGTACATATGAGTTAACATAAAACGTTAACGACATCAGTACCATACAAATAGAAGTTAGCCATCATGAAGAAAAGTAAAATATACAGCTATCATAACATCTAAAGGACAATCGAATCTGAAATACGCTGCGTCTTTCGTATTATCCTTCTATCCTCTTTTTTTGTCTCGTTATAGTCGCCGAAACGAACGGTAGTTTTACGAACTGCATCTTAAATAGCGCGTTACATCTTCGACGTGGTACGTTTTACGTAAAGTATATGGAATCAATTTATCAGTTTATCAGTTTATACCTGCGAATAAGTACTTGTGGACTGGGGTTATGCATGAAGGGCTCCTTAAACTGTATAAGAACAAAGTTAAGACGTCGCTACGACTACAGGAGGAACAACATCGGGTTCTCCGGCACCGTCGGCCACGGCGGAATCGACGACCTTTTTAACTTTTATGGACTCCGCACTACTTTCCGACGAACTCTCGGCTTCGCCATTTTGCGCCGCTGCCGTCGCCGCTGCTGTCGCCGCTGCCGTCGCCGCCGCCGCGTCTTCGCTCGTAGTCTCCTTCGACGGCCCCTCGTTCAGTCCGTTACTATGCAATTTGTCGTCCAACACTGGCACCTCCGTATTTCCGTTTTGCGTGGTACCGTTGAGTTTTTGCTTTTCCGAATCCACTGTATTTTTGTCCTTTACGTCCACCACATTCTCTTCTTTCACTGTCTCGTTTGTTGGTTCCATCTTCGAAGCTTCGTTCTCGCATTTTTCGGCGTCAGTCGCCACCACTGTCTCTTCAGTTTCCACGCCTTGTGGCGTCTTTTCATCAGCTTTCTCAGGTTCTGCGGTTACTTCTACACTCTTTTCTTGGGATACTTCGTTCGACTTAGACGCTTCTCTTTTCGCGTCTGTCGTGCTGGTTGTTGCTTCCGGTTCTGTCACTGTTGGTGGCACTGTAGTTTTCTCCGTAGCTATCTCTGTAGTTTCTCCATTTTCAGTAACGTCTGTTACAGTCGTCTCTATTTTGGCTACTTCTTCTTGTCCACTTTTTGCCGAAACTTCTTCGCTTTCGGATGTGCCGGAAACAGTTTTTGACTCTTCCTTTATCTCATCCTTCTTCTCCGTTGTCAAAGATTCTTCAGATTTGTCTGCAACATTTTTGTCAGAAATTTTCGTTTCTGGACCAACTTCATCCGCCTTTTTATCATTTTCGATCGTTTGAGTTTTTTCGACAACCTCGGACTGTGTATCTTTCGCGTCTTTCGCGACTTCCGCGGATTCTTCAGTCTTTTTCTCAGTAGACGTGAGAGCATTTTCAGACTTTGATGCAGACTCTGGCACGGACGTATCCATCGAGTCATCGGTAACGGGAGTAACTTCAGTTGCGACTGTATCTAACTTTTCTTCAGTCTTTTCTGACGCAGCGACATTATCGCTGTCTTTGACAACTGACGTTGCGATATCATCTTTTTCAGGTTGTTCTATGTTCTCAGAGGAGTCCATTTTCTCGCTTGTATTTTCAGATTTTACATCAGTCTCTTTCGTTTCTGAAGCCAGAGTTTTCTGTTCAATATTTGAAGAATCTTTTACAACTACCATTGGTTCTTCTTTTTGTGCTGAGGAAGTTGAAGCGTCTTCCGACGACTGACTCTTTACATGCTCAGTCTTTTCTGATTCGGTTTTTTCCTTCGCCTCATCCTTTTCGACCTTTTTATCGCTGACGTCGGTCATTTCTACATCCTCAGAAGTATCCATTGGCTCACTGACATCAGTCATACCTTCGTCGACTTTTTCAACCGCCGTTTCTAACTTTTGTCGTTTTGCAGATGTTTGAAATGTCAAATCCAAGAAAGAGTTGATAGTTGTAAACGTAGCTTTTTCTTCATCAGTTATAACGGCATTACCCTCACGCATTACGATAACTGTCGATAGACCTGCTTCTTTGGCAGCTGCAGCTTCTGTCATCGTTTAAGAGAAAAAAATGTATGAGCAAAAAGAAAGACATTTGCAAACATGGTCCAAATATGACGTAAACCTAGCATGCAACACGATACAAAAAATAATTATTTATTTAAAATGATTAATAGGCGAAATGGTAGGAAATATACGAACCTTTTACAACGTCAGTAAGGAAAACAATATTGGATGGTTTTTCATTGATTTTGCTTAGAATATTTTTGTAGCTGTCAGTTTCTTGCTTTGCACCTACTTCAGTGTCGAAGTAACCACTGAAATACTAAAAAAGAAAATCATTTTCATAATTAATTCATACAAACTTTCCGCTAGGGTATTTGATGAAATATCTGCGATTACAGTATATTGTGTTATTATAGAATACCTTAAGCATGTCTCCATGCTCAGTGTGTCCAAAAAGTAGTTTCTGCGCTTCAACACTGCCACTTGAATAGACATATATTTTTTTGCCTTCATTCGCCCATGATTCAAGCGCTTTAGGGACATCTTCGTAAACGCTAAACAAAATATATATTCTTGAAACCTAATGTTAAAAATAACTTGAATCTTTCACAAGTGTTTTGATTAATTTTTATAGCCTCAATCTTTATTTAGTTATACAGATTTTTACAAAAAACGTCAGAAGACTGAATTTTAAAGTAAATAAAGTTTTATAAAACAGTTTATTGTATAGTAATCGCTTAACCTTTCCAATTCTGAGAAAAAAATGTGTTAATCTTATAAATTTTATTGTGCAGTATTAAAATGGAGAAGTGTTAAAAATTCAATAGAAAAAGTTATGCAACATGAAAATATGTTTAGCATGCTATGTAAGCAGGTCCGAACTGCACTTATTCCATTACAGAGCAATTTGAAATTTTGTCCACGGTCGATAATATGAAGGTAGTGAGAAAGTTAAAGAGAAAATGTCTTCTGATGTGTATCCAATACTTATGATGTAAACATTCAAGGCTAAAAGTAGACAAAATACAAGCACACTATAGAATCTATTTTTATATATGTATATTAGATCCAATATGATATAAAGCTTTTTGTAAAGTATAGAGATAAATAAGACACAACTGAAGTGAGCCCAAATACTACATGTTCACCTCACTATTCATCTATGATTTACTACATGTATATAGTAAATAAATATTATATAATTATATTTATATGTGCATATATATCATGGGCAACATCACGTATTTGTTAAACATTTATATTTAACTATATTTAATGTTGCTACTATAAACTGTTACATACTAATGTTTCATGAGAGACATTTGTATGCATTATAAATTTTATAAAGATAATACAGTATATATATATATATATATATATATATATATATATATATATATATATATATATCAAATATCAATGTTATATTGTTGCGAGTAGAAATAAATTATAAAAGAAGAACGAGATAGAACAACTCACTGAGCTTTAATTGCGCCTGTTTCATATGCTTGACGCCACATATGTCCTTGCAATTGCTTCAATGCACCAGTCTTGCGATCATTATCCATTTGCCATAATATATTCTTTAAAACTGAATTCTTTTCTTCTTCAGGCTTATCATTAATAATTGCTACAAAGCCATCTATTTTTTCTTCTTCGTCTTTTTTCGCCTAAAAAAGGGACATTGATAAACTATTGGTGACATTAACAAACAAGAAAAGAACCAAACACAAGGAGAGGTAATAAGGAAAGAAAATAATAAATTACAGAACCAACATTAAGATTTATTGACATTATTCATATTAAGTTTCTATAGAAAATATTTATATAAATGGTAATCAAGTTTTAAATATTAAATATATATATATATATTATAGAACATATGAATTGCTGGGCAATGTGATGGGCAAATGTAATCTTACTATTAAAGGAAATTACAGGAAAGGAAATTTTGTGATTATTTATTGTTAATGCTAGAAATTCTATCGTTAAATAAAACATCTTAATATGATTATTCAGTGAGGTCTCTATTGTAATATAATGAAGTTTTGTAGTCATCAATATTCATCAGTTTATATACAGCTTAAGAGAAGTATTCTCTCAAGATAAGAATGCATATTTCCCTAAAATCTTTTTCTCAGAACACAACCAAATTAATGTTATTCAGTAATAATAGTATCACCTATTTAAAGATATAAAATAATATTTCCAGGCAGAAGGCTTTAAACTTAAAATTTAACAGTGAATCAATCAGTATTTTTATCATATCAGGTGTCAGTCATTACTGTATTGAAACAGCATTACTATAAAATTTTATAAGCTTTATCCAAAAAACACTCAATGTGTGTGTGGCATTCAATACTATTTAATACAAATCATCAGTATATAATTTCCTCTTGGTCCCAATAAAAAAAGACAAATGTCATCTTTGACAATCAGCCTGCAAGATTGATCCATCAAGGTTCCACATATTTACCTGTTCTTTCAATTTTTCATAATCCTGCTTGAACTCCGGATCCTCCCATTTTGACTCGATATAATTTTTCAAATTTTGACGCACGTAAGGGAACAGGGTATCCTGCAAGAGCAACAAGCCGCGCGTAAGGATTAATCGTCATCGGGAGTCGCGCGTAAATTGGGAAACGCTCGCCGGGAAAAATCACGCGCGTGTCCCGTTGTTCCCGGCAGCGTTTGGCGGCGTCTCGGCGCGTCGCGTCGATATACATACCGCGACCGATATCTATAAAAAGGCCGTGGTGTTTGTTTTCAAGGCTCTCGATTCTCATGGCCCTTCGGCCGCTCGCCGTTAGCGGCTGGAGGGCACGGGTTGCTGCACGGCTGAAAATTCGAGGCGATGGTCGAACGCCTTTCGACTCGAGCGATTCGCAAACACGGTGGCGGCGGCGGTGGTTGTGTGGCGGTGGTGGTGGTGGTGGTGGCGGCGGCGGCGGCGGCGGCTCGCGATCGCCCGAAAACTCGATTCGAGCCGACAGCACACCGCCCCGATGCGAGGACAATAACCCGCCGTGGAATTCGACCGCATATATGCGCGACGAGACGGGAGCGAAGAGACGGAGTCTCTCTTGCCGATGCCCGGACGACTTCCCGGGGGGATGCGAGTCGCCTCGACCGGCGGCGAAACGCCGTTCGTGAGAATCTCGTCGTCGGGTAAATCTAACGGCGAGGCTGTTTCATAGCAGAACAGAACGAAACGAAACGGAACGGCACGGTACAGTACGGTACGGCGTGGTACGTTACGGCACAGTCGAGCTCGTGAAAAACGCGTTCTCGCCCGTCTCTCTCGCGCTGCTTTGTCGCCTTTGTGCATTTACCTTCACGAAGCTGATGCTTGTGATGGTGCCCTCGATGTCGACGAGCACTATGCTCGCGGTTAAGGTCTCCTCCTGATCCTGGCTGCGCTTTTCCCCGGCCATTTCTACGAACGACACGTCCCCGACCGTAGGATTGATAGCGGTGTATATCTATATGTATGGTGTTCCCTCTCGGTTAGGTTGGCGCTCACGCTGTGTATGTCGGCGACGACGCGTTCTTGTTGAGAGCCGGCGAACGAATTCGCTGTTGGCCGTGCGCCAATGTATATCCTCGATGTGTGCGTGCGTGCACTCGCAGTCTTCTCCCCTTCTCACGGCCCGCGCCCTGATATACCCAGTAACCAAGACCGTATCACGCGTCTCGGGCGCCCTAGGTCTTGTTTAGAAATTTGCGGGCTCACTTCCGTCGCTTTAGACACTGGCGCGCGAACAGATGAAACCACCGGCGCAACGTTGTTTCCCGCGTCAAGAACGCTCTATCGCCTATCGCAAGACAAATATGTCCACAAGATGTCTAAAAGTATCTAGGAGATAACAGTTTTACAAGTTAATATCGCGCTTGGAAGCCTTGTGTTACACCTATAAGAGTTTTCATTAACTATGCATCAACTGATGTTTTTCTCGCTGTGTATCACGTCGCAATGTTAGTCGTTTCAATTTTTAATAAGAACTCATGTTGGCGCGAATAATAAACACGAATGAAAGAACGGAGCATAAAATTTCTATGTAGGAAGCGCAAGGATTCGCGTGGAACTATGACGGCCCTGCACCAAATACGAAACTGCGAGCCGTGTCGAAGTGTAGGTATACGCGCGAATACACGATGATGTGAGTCGCGCCGTGCGAATCGCTCGCTTCCCCTCGGTTCCGTCCAATCAACGGCCTCGCCGTGGAGTCCGTGTGCGCTACCTTGTGTGCGCACTGTACGTCACCCTCTGCTCCGCGAAAATTTCACGTCGACAAATCCGGCGGAGAATCGCCGATTTCGGCGAATTTCCTCGATAAACCGGCGCAAAAATCTGCCCTGACTCTTCGTCGTTCTTCACCGCGGCGAAGGGACGGTCGATTAGACCGAAGAAACCGTTCGAATATCGACTCGACGACGAACCCCTCTCCCCCCGATATCACTCCGCGGAAAAGTAGTTCCTTGCGCATTGTTTTTCGTTGAATTTCGAAAAACAGCACGTGACCGACGAGCCGCCGAACGTCTCGCTCGAAATATCGAAATCGGCGTGCGTTCTGTCGCGATTCGGTCGCTTATTGGCTCCGCAGGACGAATTTCGCCGGCGAGATTCGTCTCAATAATGCGGTCGCCCATGGACGTGTAGAGACGACCACCTGATTTTTGCGCCAGCGCCGCGTCCATTTAAATCGCCGCGTGCCGCGTACATAGCAGTAGCCATTTAAATTTAAACCGGTGCTCTGACCACGTTATTCTCCCATCGCAGTGACATCGCACGACGCGAATGCTCGTATATATATGCTAGGCAATTATTAACGACAAGGTGTAATGCTAAGAATCTTTTTAGTAATGTTCTTGAAATAAGATAAAATAATTTGTAACTTTATTATAGGATAGAATTATACGATATACTTAATGATAATTAATATTATCTATCTTATTTATCTATCTTATTTAGCATTATTGTATAACTCGTAATAACATATGTGTAATGCACATATGTATATAAGATGAAGTATTACATTGAATGATGAATATATGTAAATAGTACGCTAAGGATACAGTATATCATAGTCAAACAATACAAACATATGAACGTATGAAATGCATACTTATCTATCATGTTGACATACATATTAAACACACATTGTTTGTATCTAATTAGCTGTTTCACAGTGGAAACATGTTGTATTTACATAAGAGTAAACGCTATAATAAAAATAAATACGACGACAAAATAAAGGTAATTACGTCGCATTATGTATAGAGCATATTGTATATACTACCATCAACCGTTCTTTGCAAGGTGCAAAATTATCTATTCAATGTAGTTTAAAAAATTATTTGCGTCAATACACGATACTCGAATAGTGTCATGTTGTGTAACATTGATTTTGTACACAATTTTACATAATTTTGTAATTATGAATTTTTTTCATGTAGCTTATTCGGATTGCAGCTTATTTAGCTTTTCGCCTAGATGTTTATTCAAGTGAATTCTGATCTCCTGGCTGTTGAATTTCTCCCCACACTCCGAACATTCAACCTCGCCCTCGCAGGAATGTTCCTTCTTGCGATGTTTTGAACGATTGTTGTAGGTGGAGAACGTCTGGCCACAGTCCGTACACTGGTAGGGCTGTTCGCCCGTGTGCTTGCGTTGATGATGGTCCCGAGAATCCTTGCGTCGGAAGCTTATGTTGCAGTATTCGCACTGGAACGGCTTTCTGCCGGTGTGCAACAGAATATGATTGTACAGGGACTTGGTGTCGTTGAATCCTTTGCGACACTGCGCACATTTGTAACGTTTTTCGCCCTCATGCTTGCTCCTGATGTGATTGATTAGCATCTGCTTGATCTTGAACGTGGCTTTGCAGATGTCGCATTCGAATATCGGACTGACCCTGCCTTCGTGTACCCTTTCCTTGTGCGCTTTCAGCGACATTTGATGCTTGAATTTCTCGTGACATTCGTTACATTGATGCCAAGGTTTCTGTTCCGTCAGCAGTGGATCCTGATGGTGAATTTCATGGATCTCTATCATGTGGTGCTTCAACATACGATAGGTCGGTAGCTCTTCCGTGCACACAGGACATGTGAACAATTGCGGCAACGAGACGTTCTTGTCGTTCTTCCAGTGTTTCTCCAGATGCTCGTTCATGTTCTGCTTCTTGCTGAACGATTTGTCACATATCTTGCAGCTGTAACGATTGTGGGAAAAGTGCGTCTTCCTGTGGAGTTTGAGTGCGGTGCTAGTCATACAGCGTTGGCCGCACACGTCGCATCGGAAAGGTCTCTCGCCCGTGTGTGTCCGATGATGTTCTTTCAGTCGCGTCTTCAGTTGAAACGATTTGCCGCATAGCTCACAGATGTGCGGTCTGGCGCCCTTGTGCACAAAGAGGTAGTGCTCGTAGAGGGAATTCTCCGCGCTGAATTGCTTGCCGCACGTGCTGCAGATGAACTCGTTCATGTTCTCGTTGTGGCGCATTTCATGGAACTCCAGTCTCTCCTTGCGCACGAAATGCTTCGGGCACTTGGAACAGTGGTATTGTCGCGGTGTAATTACCTTCATCTCGATACCATCGACCATGAGCGACAAGGAGGCGTCCTCGCAAGCGGCGCACGTCACCAGGTCGTTGATTGCCTTTGGATCTAAGTCTGTTATTGGTTCTCTGCAGAGACTGCAATTTACTATTCGCTTTTTGAACATATTCCGTTGAGCAGCGCTTGTTTCAATTATATCGAAATGTAATTCCTTGCTACCGAAATGCTTGTATCTCTTCTGATGACTTTTTAGTCTTGATTTTCTCGCGTACACCTTGCCGCATTGCACGCAGGAATGACGTATGCAACTCTTGTGCGCGTGAAAATAGTGATCCCACAGTAAGCTCTCGCTGCTAGCCTCTTTGTCGCATATTGTGCAGATGAACTTGTCCATTTTGTTTTGCTCATGTCTTTCCATGTGAAACTCGTACTTCATTTGCGAAATGAAACGTATTCCGCATAAGTTGCATGCAATTCTCGGGCCGCCTTTAATATCGACATCTTCGCATTTAGCAGAATCGTCATCGATGCGTTCTTTTTCGGTTTCCGACGTATACGCCGTACTGTCATCCTCTTTGCCGTCCACTTCCTCGTCAAGCCATTCCACGCTGCCATTCGTTGACACAATTTTCACCAAATCATTTGCGTCATTGTTTACTATTTCCATATTTACATCTACTACGCTATCGTTTATTGACTCGATTTTTATCAAATCATTTTCATCATAATCAGGGCTTAGCAAATTTTCATCCAGCTTATCTTGTGTGGTATCTGCTTTCATTTTTAATTTTTGCAATTTGCTAGGGCTGTTTTTCTCAAGAATAACATTTTCTTGGTATTGTTTCTTTATATTCTCATTCATTTCATGTGATACCTTTCCATTTGGAAATGTAATATAAGTACTTAAACAATTATCATCTTGTAGGACCAATGAACTTTCACAAATTTCTCTGATGCCATCATTTACAACAACGTATGATGATCCCGTTTCATTGTCTACTATATCTGATTTCTCTATACAGGTGTTATTATGATCTATTGTGTCCTTAGATATTTGCATGTCATCTTCTTCTACCGATTTTTCTATCTGATCGATTGCAGTTAATGAGATTTGAAGTGCAGCATTGCAATCGTCAGGATTGCTGTTTATTATGATCATCAGATCTACATTACAATTTGGACATGTATATATCATGTCGTTGTGTACTCTGGAAATTATTTCTATTTTTTCGTTTCTGTTCAATTCACACAAGGAGTGGTTTCTTATTGTACTAACATTATTTTCTGATAGTTTCAAAACATTTTGCATAAAGTCATAGTGCTTGGTAACCTTTTTGTAACAATCAAAGCATATGTATTCTGAGTGATCATCATTTGGTGAGACCTATATAAAATTAAAGATATGATAACTTTCTTGATGCACAAATATACAATACACAATACACAAATATACAATATACAATATATAAATAAATATACAATACACAATATACAATATATAGATAAATATACAATACACAATATCCTGAGATTATCTTTGATGATCATCTAGAACATCCTAAAACATTCTCTAAGACATTGTGAATATTTACGATAAGATATCTGAGATACCTTGTGTGCTGAGTTATTTTATAGCAAGATATATTAATCACTTATTATACAATATAAACATACCTTGAGTGACAAAGTGTCATATATTTTCTGTACCAAATCAGTCTCTTCTTCGAAGATATATATTAATCTATTATTCTCAAGTTTGATACAACACAAACGGCATGTTAGCGTATCACTTAGTACATCCATCTTAATTTATATATTATACACAGATATCTCTTGATGTTTCCTGAGATAATGTTATGTATTTCGTGGTGAATGTCATAAAATATACTTGTTATAATTACCTTTTTCTCTCTCTTTCTTTAAAAATAACGTCTTTCACACAAATACACACATCCCTTTTGAATATTAGCATCAATGGGCTTTTGAGGTTATGTATGTCTAGAAAAGAAGATACAAAATTATTCACAAATATTTGAATTTTACGTAAGTAATCATTTATGCAATAGTTTCTTCCGATAATTATTTGAAAGATAATTTACCTTCGATGTTTTTATCTCACTGCCTTGAATATTTCATTTCATGAATCGTTAGTAATATTTTCACATCTGTAAACGCCGAAGTACAAATTAGAATGAATATCGAGCACTTGTATTCGTTAAGTCAATTTGTATACTCTTTCTTTCAAGTTTCATATGTCCGTTAACATTTCCTTAGGAGCGTAATTGCAAATATCTGTCACCAAATTTCGAGTACACTTTGAATCACTATTTATATATGTAACTGCATCCACATAGAGGTTAGACCGAGTATCCCATGTAATAACAACGCTGTATATATAAAGATACCTTTTTATATCTCTTACCTTATATTTTTACTCGTACATCTTTATATATACATTTTATTGATTATTTTATTTGAAATACAGTATAAATAAAATATTCTGACAAGGTAACAATACAATCGGCGTCGTATCGTGTTATTCACTACTGGAATAATATCGTACATTTCATGATACCTGCTGAGGGTTAATTTTAAATTCAGTCAATACTATTAATACTTACCTACAGTTAATACTTACCTACAGACGCTTTCCATCACTTGGTAAGATAGGCGCAGAGAAAATTCAAGCGTTAAATGTGTATCATGCGAATGTTACGTCATAGGTTTACATGCATGTCTGACGTTGAGGTTAGTTGGGATGGCCGGTACTTACAAGAATTTTATGAAATTGTTGGAATCGTGGCCGTTAGACAAATCTAAAGTTGGCAGGTAATTTTTTTACGACATACAATAAAGTAGGATATTATGTAATTTTTTCGAAGGCTGTATTTAATATAATAGTGTGTTTGGTTCTGAAGGTATTATTAAGTAGTTAGGTTAGAATATCTTGTTCGATCTTATACAGCTTCTGATAATTTATTGATGACATGTTATTCTCCGCGATTTATAGTTTTGGACGGTTTTTAGCGATTTAGGACAACATATCCGTGACCAGCTGAAAATTGCATTTGCGAAAGGTGAGGCAACTACTCAACCAGACTTGGAACGGTGTAATAGATATCATGCAAGTTTAAAGAGAATTTCTTCAAATTATCATGGGCAAATGCATAAACGCACCTTGTTGAGCACAGCAAGTGGACTGAGCAAGGAACAATGCAATTTGGTACTAACCCCAGAAATGTTGGAGTATTTTAATGAAGAAGAAAAGGGAATAATCACAAGATATTTTAATAAAGCAAAGAAACTTATAGTGAAAGATGATAAAAAGAATTAGATTTATATGCTTTGCAAAAAGCTATGCTAAGAAAAGGTATTTTATTGACAGAACAGATAAGCTACTGGCTAGTGTTAATTTATTATGTTTGGCTGACAGAAGACAGTATAGTTCACAATCTGTTTCAAACAACAGTCCTCACACACCTGTTATGGCACAGGAAGTATTAACGTATATAAAACCATCACCAGGTAAAACATATGTAGATATGACATTTGGTGCTGGTGGACATGCTGCTAAACTTTTAGAGCACTCACCTGATGTGAGAATATTCGCGTTAGATAGAGATCCTATAGCGTATGAACACGCGCAGAAGCTATCACAGAAATATCCAGGCCAAGTAATTCCTTTGTTGGGTAGATTTTCAGAGTTGCCACAATTACTTAAAGGACATAAAATTAAGAGAGACAGCATAGATGGCTTTCTGTTTGATTTTGGTTGCTCGTCAATGCAATTCGACGTAGCAAATAGAGGTTTCTCCTTGTCAAAAGATGGTCCGTTGGACATGAGGATGGATGGATTTCGGTGTCCGGAACAACCTACCGCCGCGGACGTATTGGAGAGAGCGACCGAAGAAGAGTTGGCTCGTATCATAAAGGTATATGGACAGGAGAAGCGAGCCAAGAAAATCGCGCGTGCCATTATTGAAGCCAGATATATGTTCAGAAAATTAAAAACGACCAAAGAACTGTCTGAGCTAGTCGAGTCTGCTCTAGGTGGTGAAATCAGGAAAGACAGTCTCGGTAGATTTTCACACAGTGCTACAAAAACGTTTCAGGCACTTAGGATTTTCGTTAATAACGAATTAAACGAAATCAATTATGGAATACTTCTCGCCCAGATATATCTGAAAGTGTCCGGCCGTTTAATAACGATCAGTTTCCACTCGCTGGAAGACACTATAGTCAAGAGACACATCACTGGAAATATAACGGATGATCTGGCCAACACCGCATCTCTAAAATATGCGAGTCGTGACAAAACTTTCACTGAGAATGAGCTCGAACGTTTCACAGAGACACCGTGGAAAATGATACACAAGCACGTCCTAATACCCACAGTCGAAGAAATTGAAGCAAACCCGAGAGCACGATCGGCTAAGTTCCGTGCCATTGAAAAGGTGAAATAAATTTTACGTATTGTATACTCCAATAGTTACAGACGTTCTTTTATTGTTTACGTACGCTGAGATTGTATACTTGTGTATACGACATTCTGTCAAATAAGAGTTGTATGGAAATTAAAATTTTTTGACTACTACATGAAATGTTGGCAACTCGTTTGTTAGTGTACATCTTGAGAATGTTTTCTTTACAGAACAATTTCATTCAATTGTTTAAAATAGACCTTCGATTTCATCAGTTTCGCTATTCCAGTCCATGTCGTAGATACTCGGTCTAGTCGAGAGTCCTGGCATCATCATAATCTGAAGTATACACAAGATAATATTAGAAAATAGAAAAATATTTGAGAAAAGTAACAGTTTTTGATTGTATTTATTTTACTTACTTCTCCTACCATGGGAACTACGAATCCAGCACCGACCGAGACGAATATATCCGTAATGTCGAGCGTGAAACCGGTTGGCGCGCCTTTGATAGATGGATCTCCGGTTAGCGAATTCGAAGTTTTTGCCATACATATCGGCAGTTTGTTGTATCCCAGCTCGTTGTAGTTCTTGATCTTTTTCTGCACCTGTAACGGACGGTAAACGTTAGCGACACGCAATAACAAACTACGCGATAATCGAAATATCTGACATTAATCCTATTCGTTTCATATCGCATATGACGCGCGGATTTACTTACCTTTTCTGCGAGCACGACGCGACCAGCTCCATAGATTTCTTTGGCGACTTTATTAATTTTCTCTTCGATGCTGTCTTCGACATTGTACAGCACCTTGAAATTGCTAGGTGTATTCGTGGCCGCAATTACTGCATCCGCGAGCGCCGTGGCGCCTGCACCACCGTTGGCCCAATGGCTACATACTACTGCTTCGGATGCACCGCTTCTCAGGGCTGCCTGCCTGACGAGTTCCAGTTCCGCTTGAGTATCGGTACTGAAAGATTAACATATCGTTAACGCATAGGATACTCTATATTCCGCTACTGATTGAATCAATGTGAACGTTAGTTTCAGTCTTACCAATTTGTGTGTGTGTGTGTGTGTGTGTGTGTGTGTGTGTGTGTGTACGCACATGTATCCAGTAGATTTGTTAAATTTACACAAAACTATGTGATGGCAAGCGAAAATTTTGAGAAATAGATTAATTCTTGAGGAATGAACCAACGTGTGAGAGTTGATGGCGACAATAACAGGCACGCCGAATTTGAGGCCGTTGTTGATGTGCTTCTCGAGATTTGGCAGGCCTTTGCTGACGAGTTCGATGTTTTCCTCGAGATACTCTTTCTGCAGAGGCGCTCCGGTATTTACAGATGGTCCGCCGCCGTGCATCTTCAATGCTCTGATAGTCGCAACGAGTACAACAGCGTTCGGTATAAGTTTAGACGTACGACACTTGATATCGAAGAATTTCTCCATGCCGATGTCCGATCCGAATCCTGCTTCCGTTATAACGATTCCTTCCGGTCCAACTAGTTTTAGGGCAATCGCGTCGGCGATAATGGACGAGCAACCATGGGCGATATTGGCGAATGGACCGGTGTGCACCATTATGGGTGTACCTTCCAAGGATTGCATAAGCGTCGGCTCTATTGCATCTTTCAGCAGAATCGCCATTGCCCCAGTGCAACCCTGAGAGTTAACAGATAAACGATAAATTGTTTTCGTCGCGCAAAGTTATGGAGTTAACGGGAACAGTGTGTCGTGTGTAACTGAACGTGCTCGAAACGCTTCAAGTATCCAGTTTAACGAGATAATAAAAATATAGTTAACACTTCTCATAGTTTATGTAATCTGGGGTAAAAATTCAACGATTATACTAACGAAATCGTCAGCGGTTAAGGGTTCGCCACTTTTGCTGAATCCCACCACGATGTTGCCAAGCCGTCTCTTCATATCCTCGACATCAGTCGACAATGCCAAGATTGCCATTAGCTCAGAACCCACGGAAATACAGAATGAAGTTTCTCTTGTCTTGCCTTTCTCTGTTGGGTTCTGACCGATAGTGATTTTTCGCAAGAATCGATCGTTTATGTCCACCACTGCGATAAAAACAAGAACATATAATATTTTTTTTTCAAATTACACATATACAAACACACATTCTTTCTCAAGTCGTTATGTCGCACCTCTTGGCCACATAATATTCTCCGGATCGATATCCAGCCGCGCGAATCTACGTTGCTCCTCTTCAGTCAACGCGTTGGGATCGGTTTTCGTGATGCCGAGTTTTTTCAATCGTCTCAGCTGAATTTTTGAAAACTGCCTGAGACCTTTCTTAGATGGTACTAATCGATCGAAAAGGGCCTTATCTGTTTGAGTCGATTCGTGAAAATATCTCGCATCGATTTGCGCCGCCAGGAGATTGTGCGCTGCGCTTACAGCATGAATATCACCGGTCAAGTGAAGATTGAATTCCTCCATAGGGATCACCTACAAATTGACGTTGATTAGGCTGATTAAGCGAATAACGATGACGTTTTTCTCAAATAGATTGTACGAATTTTCATGTAGAAGATTACGAATGATAAGATCTCGTTATACAGAGAAAATTGTGTAATAAAAATTATAGATTTTTTTTATCGAGAAATAGATCGTGACATATTCTGCAGTAATTGGCTGTCCTTTTATTTTATATGTGTTGTTTATAGGAACTTAAATGTGATATTAAAAAATTTACTATATTTTTAGCGAAATTTACTATGTTCTTTAGCAAGACAGACTTTACTAAATTCTACTTAGTATTCTTGCACAACTGTTACATAGTAAAATTGAAAAGAATTTATATGAAAAGAGGAACTATAATATCCTCGCGTAATATGCTTGCCTGCGAATAACCTCCTCCTGCAGCACCTCCTTTAACACCAAATGTAGGTCCTTGACTGGGTTGCCTTAGGGTAGCAAAGGAATTCCTTCCGCGGTGTGCTGTTAAAGCTTGTACTAACCCGAGAGAAGTCGTGCTCTTGCCTTCGCCGAATGGCGTTGGTGTGATACCCGCCACTACGACATACTTTCCGTTCTGTTGATTCTTCAGTCGTTGCAGCACTCTAAGACCGATCTTGGCCTTCTTGTTGCCATAAGGACTGAATTCGTTCGACAGCAGTCCAATTTCTTCGGCCAGTGAGGAAATCAGTTTCGGTTCCTGGGACCTGGAGATACTAATGTCGCTCGGTACAGGTTGAACGAAATTCAATTTAAGAACCCTTAGATTCCACTGAGTGGTGAGCATCTTCTCCACAGCTCTTTGCGCTGATATCACAGTATTCTTCATCAACATTGCTACTGTCATAGGCCCGACGCCGCCTGGCACTGGTGTGATGTATGATGCTACCTGGGCAGCTTCCTGATACGCTACGTCGCCCAACAGACGTTGTCCGCTTTTTTTCGTTGAGTCTGAAACGTCCTTCTCTTTGTAGATAAAATCTAATTGTTTTACAATCAGTCAGGTATAGAACTTTTTTTTTTTAAATACGTTGTTTCATATAACACTAAATCTACTTTATTCAAGGAAGAAAAATTTTTTTCCTTTTTTTTCCTTTTTTAAGCATAGCAAATTCCTTTTAAAAATTTAATGCCATATCCTAAAAAGTTATCGATATATACTTGCTTGGAAGTGATAAATCACTTCATATGTATTGTCTCTCACGTATTTTAACGATTAATACTAATAATCGCTGACCACTCGTATTATTGAAAACTAACGTACGAGCATGGCATGCGTACTCAAACGCGACTGAACTCGAAATATATAATAATGAGTGTGAGTCTGACGCATTACGAGTACAGTTTTTACTATATCGTGACCCATTCGTAACCCGAGTTGTATGGACGCCAATATATCTTTAGCCACAACGCGAGGGTCTAGCAAGAAAAAACGATAACGGACGTAAAAGCATGCGATAGGCGAGATAAACTTATATTACAATCTTTGCGTCTAGAATGACGATATATCAGTGTTACTTCGAAACTTCGTTACTTCGAATAATCTGTACGTGATTTTATGCTAAATGAAAGATTCTCTGGTGAGAGAATTAAATTATGTTTTAGAATGAATGGACGATCTCTGTAAAGCTGTTGTTCGATCATATCTCGTAGAGAAAAAGAAGAGAGAAAGAAAAAGAAGAAAACAAATAGTTACGTACCTGGTACAGGATTAATACCGCAATCGATAACAACGGCACCCGGTTTAATCCAATCACCTTTGACTAATTCTGGTTGTCCTATGCCTACCACTAAAATATCGGCTTCGCGTACCTGCAATGAGATTTTATTTGAAATGGCATGTGTGCCGAAAGTATTCCATTCATGCAGTTATTTACGAAGAGGTGTCACAAATTCGAATAATCACTTACAATGCCAGGAAGGTTCTTCGTTCTGGAGTGGCAAACTGTTACAGTGGCGTTATGCCATTTCAATAATTCGCTAATTGGAGTGCCGACGATTTTGCTTCTCCCTAAAACGACGGCTCGTGCACCAGCAATAGCAACACCGCTTCTGAAAATTGTTTTTACTTTTTATTTAACGCACATTGTTTATAATTTTATAATTTTTATCGATAAAATAACACACTTCTTAATTAATTCGATGCAGCCATTCGGAGTGCATGGCAGAAAGCCGGACATGTCACCGATCGCAACTCGACCTTCGTTAATGGTATTTAGTCTGCAATTAAATAATTATGTTTTATACATATATGAATAAATATTTATGAATATTTATTAATACATATATGACGTTACACACGATTTAGCGAGTTTAAGTCTGATAGGACGGATGTTTTTTTACGAAAATTATGCTATTAAAAAAATTAATATTATGGCAATAATTATTTTTTAATTTATATGCCGAAATATATATTTATGCAAATTGACGTCTACACATGTTCCTATCGCATAAAGTTGAGATCCGCGGGTCAAAGAGCAGATTATTTATGTTTGCACTTGTATTTATCGCTGTTAAATGCGTCATGAAATCTTCTCAATACACCACTTTCGTAATTGCGGATATCTATGCACCGGTTTACGTTGAAATAACCGACAAACATTTCGCTGACAACTCAATTTATTGAGTTAAATAAGTGATCTATGTATTCATCGACATAGAATATTATGCCAGGTCGAAATTACGTCAGCACCGAAGAAAATTACTTTACGAAATACTAGGTACGTTCTATTTGAAATAATTAACAGGCGATTGACAAATTTAGAGGCAGCGAAAACCAATGATATTAATCAATAGCCGAACGTTACGATATTATTAATTGATTTCAAATTATAATAATTATATATTTCACACAATTGTTACTATGTGTGCTCTACATAAAAATATTATAATTTACTTACCCGTCAACATCCTTATTAGGCGACACCAGATCAGTAATCAGGTGAGAATTGATTTTATTTACGGTATCGAGCGGCATTTGCACAATAATCCCATGAACGTTAGGATCATTGTTCAGCTTATTAATTTTATTAATGAGTTGTATTTCTGTAGTCGTGTTAGGAAGCTTCACATGTTCGGCGACGATCCCTATGTCGGCGGCCGCCTTAATTTTCATCTTGATGTAAACATTAGAATCTTCCCGGCCGCCTACTTGAACGATAGCCAGACCTGGTGCGAAGCCAGGTAGTTTTTTCTTGAGGTCGCTTACATCTTTGGTTAAGTCAGCGCGTATCTCTCTAGTAAATAAAAGTTACGTTAAATACGTAATTATTGAACGTCCTGAAACAGTTTCGTGTTTGCAAATTGTCTATTTTTTTATATAATAACAATATTTAAAGAAATGTATTTTTTCAAAAGAAGATATTTTTATTTTGGAGCAATAAATTTTTTAGGTAACGTTGAATTTTTATGTTGTACGTTTATCAATTATTTTGCAATCTTATCTTGGTATTATTCATATTGTGCATACTGCATTTACTCAAAATAAGAGAATATACTTCGCGATTAAAGTTTAGTACAATTTAACGCGACATTCGACATTTAAATTTTGCGGGCTAGTTAGTCTGTGTCCGATACTCACTGCCAATACTGAAAATCTACAGTTCATGTTACATATACTATAGATTTTCAATACTGGCAGCACTGGCAACCTTAGAGGTTGCCTTCTTTCTTTTTAGCTGACTTGGTTGCACTTTTGCACCTATTTCCTTTTTGCACTTTTTCTTATACTATCTAGCATTGGAGAAAAAAGGAACGAAGTTGTAGTGCAGCACTTGTTTAGCTCAAAAGAACAGATCCTAAAATTATCTATTAAATAAATAAATAAATTATTTGATACACGGGCAAGATCATTGCAAAAACGTTTTAACACATATTACTATTTCTTTTTTTTTTATAATTCATTGTTGGAGTATATATTATTGTGTGACTCAAATATCATAACCTCGTCGAGAACCACACATGACTATCATCTGATAAAATATGTATCACTTTTTGATGTAATAGCTTTTATTGTAATCAGGCCATTATGATTAGTATGAATTGTACTATACTATAATATGAATAGTATGATTACTATAGTATAAATATTTCCAACAAGAATTGCTCCATGCAAACAATTTTGTTTCGTCAGAAATGTGACAGTAATTTGCTACAGTAATTGTGACAGTAATTTGTTACAGTAATTTGCAATGTCATAAGCATCTTCTTAAGCCAATTGATCGATTTCTCTTATTTTTACAAATTTTCACAAATTCGAACTGATTGTTAACACGAATTAAATAAATGATTATGTACTTTGCCAATTCCGTGCCGGACAATATAACTCCTCGTACGTCCGTGGACATGGCTCTATTCAGGTATCTGAAAGAATTTAACTTCAAGTTAAACAATTTTGTACTTTGTTAGATTGAGATTAAAATTTTCACTATATTATCACTAACTTCACTGTTATTCACTGTCACGAATTGACGAGTTGCTCTGTGCGGATGTTAGCCTCTGTATTTACAGACTGACTGGTGTTGATCAAATGGATCTTTTCAGTGTCGCGACCGGTTTACAAGTGGTTCTCGACGTAATATATATAGGGTGTTTTAAAGATAAGAATAACAAGGACATCAATTTTCTTTGAACAAATTTTATCTAATTCTTTACAAGAAAGTTATAATCTCTCATCTGTGTTCAATAAATTTCTATTCAAACCGTTTTTAGAAATAGAATTAAATAATTGAATCCATACGTGAATTTTTATTCGTTTATATAATTTTGAAAGTCAATTTAAATGTATTTCGTTCGCCCTTAATTCTCTAAGTCTTAAAAGTAAAACTTTTTAGAAAAAACGGATATTACTTAGATAAACGACATTATATCTCTTTTTGAGACACCTTGTATACGTTATCATATCTCTATTACGTTACGTCATGAATGTATAGTCAAGTGTACACGTAACGATATAGCATTTCCATGATCAATAGAAAGACGATTTCGATAGTTATAATTATGAATTATGTAGGGGTTTATAATCGATTTGTTTTATAATCGTATTTTATAAAAAGAAAGAGAGATTACGACCCGTTATACAGCGAGTCTCATGCTGTGTCTGCAAGCAGCGAGAGGCGGGTGTTTCAAACAGTCTTTATAACTCGTTGCATTCTCGAAGATAAGATTTGAACTATTCGTGTTCAAATAATATTTATCTTATCTTGTGCCTTTTATATTTTCCTGGAGTATATTAGTGTGGAAGCATTTTCAGATACAAACATTTATTTCTTCATTTTTATTCTTTGTTAGAGAATTTTACTGATAATGTCGATTTAATGTTTCTCGTTATATAGTTATATAGAGTAACCTGATATTATTTGATGTTGTTTTATTCTTGTTTTTTGGATGTTTTATAAATTCTACTTTGTGATTTTTATTTATACATAGAACGTTTATCAACTTGAAGAATAATGCCAATAATGATGATTAGATATTCCGTTAATTTTTATGTGGTTTAATGCAGAGTAAAACGTAAATAACGTAAATGTTAACGTAAACGTTAAACGTAATAATGATATATTTTAATAATAATAATAATAATATTATTATTATTTAATAATAATATATTTTTATTAATAAATAAAATGTATGATATATATTGTATAAATTAATGATGTATAAATCTCTTACTTAAGTATTGCCGATATTCGTACCATGAGACGATTTGACGCAACAACTCGACGATAACTGTTTATTACACATAGTTTTCGTCGATGGATGCATCTTTGCGGGAATGCGAGCTAAACATAAATATGCAATAAAAATACGAAGGTCTCAGTTAGCTACTTGATTCTGTTAGTTACTTTGATTAGCTACGTACATTACGAAATTCAGTGCGATAAACTTTGACATGTGTTACAATCGGTCTTTTGCGTTCGAGTCGATATATAATCCATATATATCTCCCAAGTTTGTAATAACATTTATTCATATGTTCATATTTTTTATACAATATTATAAAAATAATAAATAATATAAAACGGGAGTTTCCTTAAAATATTTGTAGATAATGAAAATTTATTCATATTAATATTAAAATATTAGTTGAGACTTCAACGCTTAACATAATTTATTATTATATATCCCACTCACTTAAGATATTAATTCGAGCTTATATAATTATACAGCTTTTGTCAAATGATAGTCACACATAACATGTGGAATAGATATTGAAATCTGTCACTCGTTATCGAGTTAACGACGACCAAATTCGTCGTAATAAAAAAACACTCGTTTGAAATGTAACAGTGTATGTGTTGTTAAATAAATAGGACTATTGTACAACGGGGGACGTGATCTAATCTCATGGAAATATATTTATCGAATAAATGAATATAATAATTTGAACAAATTGAAAACACAAATCAATTTTTTCGTATTTTATCGCACAAATAAGGTAGATATACAAATGCCATTTGTAGAAATAAAAAATGTCGCGGTCGTGAAAATAAGTAAATAAAAAATAACCGTTAATAAATTATATCTTTTTTAAAAATTTGAAGACTTTCGATCGAACCATTTATTACCTGCATTATTTTATCGTGATGGATAACACAGATACAGCTAGGTCGTGATTAAAGAACTTGTAGTTAGTTAGGCAATTTCGACCCGAAGCAGCGGCTCAAAGAGAGAGAATTTGCTCTTACTCAGAATTTAGTCGGTTTACCAGCGGTTAGTCTGCGTCGGGCATCATCGTCTTCGTCTCTTCGTGCCACCGATTGGCGGATCTGTAATATCGTTAGGCCGCGGTTTTGACCGGGCCACTGTCCTGCTAGAGGTCAGAACAATCGCTGAAGATTAGTAAGATTAACCAAGATCCCCTTTACGTCTGGATTGTCCCTTCGCCGGCAGCTCAAGGAAGGTGCACGACCCAGCACTCGGGCTATTGCCTTGCACGTAGACTCGTTCCTTGAATCTCGCGGGACAATTTTACGTTCCCCAATGCCGGCCCTTTCTCCACTCTGGTACGGTGTCCCTTCACTACCGATGAATGAATTTAATCGCACTTTAATTGCGCGTCCTTCGCAGCGACGTGCATCTTTGTGTGAAAATCTCCGTGTGAAAAATTATATCTTTCTTTTGACTGCGTTTAGTAATCGACGTTGACTTTTTTACGTGTTTTCCGAATTGCAATGTTTAATAAGACACTCCATTAACTTTGGTACAACTGTTAGTACTCTGTAACGGATTTAAAGCAAGATATATCGAGTCCGTCGAGACGCTTGTCCCTTTTGGCGCATCGATCTCGTGTTCCTCCGAGACGAATCTTCCAAGTTCCGATGATCTCCTCGGGATGACTTTCGACAGTTTTGCGCCTCACGGGCATGTGCTCGTAACTTAAGCTTAATTAATTCCAAGTCAGATGGCCAGATCACGTGGAAATTGGCGGTCTATGTGAAATTGTCGGATCGATGCCGGCAATCGGCATCCGTAATTGCTCGACGTCAGTTTCGCACGGGGTTCTATAATCTAGCTGCCCCGCCTTCAAGGAAATCCCGTGGGTGCTTATCGTCTTTGCTGGTTGGGTAGAGATTCTCTCTCTCTCTCTCTCTCTCTCTCTCTCTTTCTCTCTCTGCCTCTTCATCATCGTGTTGTCCCCTCGGTGCTCGCATCCCTCGTTTTCCTTACCCTTCTCGACGAGTCAATCTTGATTCGCGAATCCGCCCGCGGCGGTTTCTCGCGAAATCAATGTCGACACGCACTCCTTCCTTCACTTCTTAGAACGCGCAGCTTTCAAACTGCTTTACTGACTCGACGAGCGTTTCTCGATGTCGACGACGACCGTTTCGAATGAACTCGAAAGTCGTTGGTCATGCAGATCGGGTGGTCCAGCTGCTAGTAGGTTGACCGGTTTGAAGAGAAGAGCGGGATCGAAACCGGAATTATAGCGAATCCTTGTATAATAGCATGAATGACGATGAAACGGTTCCGCTGTCAAGTTTCTATGCGACGTCCTTGATGATTTCATTAAAAGTTTTGAATGTCTTCAAAGCAGATTTCTATATAATTTGAAATATAATAGGGATAACTTCTTTTCCTTTGGAGTATAATACTATATAGAAGTATAATACTATATAACAAATTCATTATTATAGAAGAGTTTCAAGACTGTGCCAGTCGCAAGGTGGTGACCGGTCTAATATCTATCAAGAGAATAATAATATTCAAGTTTCTACACAGACAAGAATCGTTACTATCCGGATGCGCTGATCCTTCCCCTTTGTCGAAGCAACCCTTCTCGAACTTATTCATCTAAAACTGTTTTAAGTAATTCACCGTTTCTTATCTACGAAAAGATCGCAGAAATTCCGTATGCAGTACCTTATATTTAATTTGATCAATGACACGTTCATTGACCACATTGTTACAGTGTACGTGATCTCGCCGCGAGATCACCGTCGAAACAATCCGAATCTCTAGATCGCCACAGTCTGGAGAACTAATATAGACGCCGTGAAATCTTCGGCACGGCTATACCGAGCAATGGAGAGCTGTTACGAAAAGGGGTGAGTCGGTAGCTTCGTCGCGGCGTAGGTACCTACAGATTCCAACTTGTGCGGATAGTTGGGCTTAAGGGTTTCAGGGAGAAACTAGCCTTAGGGTGACTGGAGGCTACGGATGATCGGGGCTGAAGTAAACCGTCGAGACGGACGGCATGACGAGGGGAGGGCTGTGAACGGGGGAGGCCGGGGTGGCGAGCAGGGGTCTAAGGTGTAGGTGGAAGGTCGCTGCAGATCTCGGAGAGCAAAGCAACTCGGACCGCAAATTCCTTTACGGTGTTCGGCTCGCGGCGCATTCGCAGTTAGAAGCAAGGAACCGACTCGTTTTCGCTAATAGGGCGCGTTTAACTCCGAGCACCCCGCGTGCGCGGGCGAACGATATCTCGAAGGACACGCGTTGTCCCAATTCTCCGCTACGCTCCCGAGATTTCCGTTTCGGGGATTTCTACGTTTACCGCGTCGCTGGACACGCAAAGCTCCGCAGGGGCCGGACGCTGCACATCGGCGGTGTTCACTTCGATCGCGAGCCTCGTTCCACGAGCGCGTTTGTATTGTCGGTTACCTAGATATTATCCCTCCTCAACTTCGGGCATCGTGTTAATCGCGTTAATTCGATGTGCCTCATTTCGCGAGACTCGCGCTTTTATTTTTACACGGATAGTCGAACTTCAACCATTTTCGCTCGGGCACATTCCCAATTCCATTCTTATTTAGCACTTTTCCATTCGGATATTTTCAATACCATTTCCTGATTTAGCACAATCTAAGTTTTAAAAGTCGCAGAAGAAAAGTGTCGTGTCTCATCAATATGACTGTAAAATAAAATATAGCTTTCTGGATATCGTTGTTAGCGATTTATCTTTATTGACAGCATTGTCGGCCCTTTACTTACTTCAACGGTACTACTATATACTTCTGTATACAGTCGGTATACTTCTGCGGTATTTTCCATTCCTTTTATAGAATCAATATATTCATTGATATCACTGAATATATAAATATCGCTGAATGGTCAAAAATATCGTAGGGCAACTCTGCATTGAGAGCATGTCAATGTC